TTCCAATTTAATAAGACAGACATGTTGGCATCGTGCTGTGGAATCCCAATTCTGGAATTTACATCGGATTCCCACCCAGTTTAAAGTTCAGGATCTTGTCCCCACACCCACAAATCCATCACATGGTCCAATCTTCTCCTTCGACGCTGGCATCTCCACCCAGCTACTTCCGGTCAGGTGCGGAGATGCGGAGATAAAAGAGGACCTTGGCTACTAGAAAAGAATGACAATAACACATTCCACATTTCTATCCTTTCTATTACCCACTCCCAACTACTACACTAATAAAACAGCATAATGAAATAAGAGAGAGTGTGGCAGGCCAAAGATCCTAAAATGCAGACCTGACAATCTCTTTCCCACACAGGGCACATAACAATGGTATGCCCCACTACGGTCATATCAGTGGCTGTTGGGAGCAGCAACCTCTGTACCAGAACAGTGCTTTGAAGGGCCCACCCACCCACCCTCATTCCTTACCTGTATTTAAGCTAACAGGCCTATTTGTGCATGCATGTACAGCATTCGGCGCCTGTGCAAAGTTCCGCCGAGCACCTGGAGCATCGCAGGGCAGTGGGTGCTCATGCATGTGCAGTGTGTGTGCCTGTGGTGGATGCCAGGCCCCGTTGCAGCGTACTGGTTGCAATGGAATCTAGAAGTCCACTACTAGTGGACTTCTAGTCATGTCCCATGTTCTCATAAACCCATCTCCATCTCATCTACAGTAGTTGTTGATTGGAGATTCCTGGCTCCTGCGTGAAACAATCTTCACTCTGATTGGTTGCTGTGAGTGTGGAGGGGCAGTTTCCATTTTTTCCCACCTTTTTCTTCTGTGTGCCCTGTGATTTACCTCATGATGTTTCAGTTTGCCTGACAATTTTGTTTGGTGTATATATAGATGTAAAATATATTTAATTATATTATATAATCAAAAGAGTAAAACAATTGAAATGGAAATGGACTGGTTGCATAGCCAGAAGAACTGGGCAGCCAGAGAACGGATCCCACTTTTTGATAAAAAGTTTCCATGAAAGAGACCTCAAACAAGATATCAGTGTTCCAATATCTCAGGGGCTGCCCCAAAGAAGAGGGAGTCGAACTATTTTCCAAGGCACCTGAGGGTAGAACAAGAAGCAATGGGTGGAAACTAATCAAGGAGAGAAGCAACNTAATGTAAGATATGGCTCAATGGCTAAGACACTGAGCTTGTCGATCAGAAAGTTCGGCAGTTCAGCGGTTCGAATCCCTAGTGCCACATAACGGAATGAGTTCCCATTATTTGTTCCAGCTTCTGCCAACCTAACAGTTTGAAAACATGTAAAAAACAAGTAGAAAAATAAGAACCACCTTTGGTGGGAAGGTAACAGCGTTCTGTGCACTTTCAGTGTTTAGTCATGCCAGTCACATCACCACGGAGACGTCTTCGGACAGCGCTGGCCCTTCGGCTTGAAACTGAGATGTGCACAAACACCCTAGAGTTGGGAATGACTAGCACATACATGCGAGGGGAACCTTTACCTTTATCTTTAATAGCTAATGAAGAATAATCATTCTAATGCATTGCTTAGGACCAAGTGAGGTTTATTAAAACCTAATATTTGGACTTTATCTGATCCGAAATATATCACAGCACTCTCCATTGCTTTTTTAGGTCAGTGATGTAAGTGTTTCTGAGGCTCTGAGTGATAAAAATCACTTTCCCTTTTTCTACGCAATGGTTCCCAAAGAAGGGATCAACTACCCAGGAATTATACAACTGCTCCTCCATTTCAGATGGACCTTGATTGGTCTCTTTGCTTCTGACACAGAGAAAGGAGAAAAATTCATGAGGTTTTTGACTACTGCGCTTGAGAGAAATGGAATTTTTGTTGTTATATCACACCTATTCCTAAAAGCTAGACCTACAGATCCCCTCAGGGATGCTTTCTCTAAGTGGAGACAGGTCAATGTCTTTGTTTACTACATCGAACATGGCAATTTCCTGGAAGGAATTCTCCTTGCTTACTTAATCCTTGAAGGTTTTCTGGGACCCATCAAAGGGAAAGTCTGGGTCCTCACAATTGTGGCAACAGTGCCAATCAGAAGGGAAAGGATTTTCAAATATGTCCATAGTATTTGGATCTTTGCAGTGCAGGACAAAAAAAGGCCAAAAAATTATGTTATGAAACCTGATATCTTTCTGAAAACCCAGTTTCACGATCAGTCTTTTCATTGTTCCATTTCAAAGCATGACTTTTCTGTCAAAGGCCGGAGAAGATGCACCCAGAAAGCACCCCTGGAAACCCAACAGGAAAGGAACATATTACGGATCCCAAATGACCATCCTGTTTACGTTATTGTTAAGACTCTGGCCCGTGCCTTGAATGCTGCATATTCCTCCACAACAAAGAGGAGAAGAAAGGCAAGCAAAGAGTCTTTCGGGACTCAAAGGCTGCAGCCGTGGCAAGTATGGAATATCAACAAAGATACATTAAAGGTTAAGATATTTAAAGTTAGTAGCTGGAGCAGTGGTGTTGTGCAGTGAGCCAGAACATGGAGTTGTACCTATAGGTCTAGACTATTAGTTCTATTAGTTTGGTCGTTTCAAGAGTGGAAAGTTCTGCTTGTGACTATAAGAGACTATAACTCTGTGCGAAGTGTTGCCTTGCCCTGCATTTGGGAGCTAGTTATCTGCAGCTCGCCAAGCGAGATAAGGTTTGTGTTGATAATTATTCCTCTGAAAGACTGTTTGCCAAGCCTTGCTGACTCTGAATTAAAGGAATTTACAGTCATGTAAATAAAAGAGATTTTGCTGGGATCAAGACTCTGCTTCATGTTTTTTAAGTAAGCCTGACAGAAAATATCTCTGTCAGCGTTCCAAATATCATACAGAATTAAATCAGAGTCCAAGGCAGAGCTATCCTTAAAGTTCCAATTTAATAAGACAGACATGTTGGCATCGNATGGATGGAAACTAATCAAGGAGAGAAATAATCTGGAACCAAGGAGAAATTTCCTGACAGTTAGAACAATTAATCAGTGGAACAACTTGCCTCCAGAGGTTGTCAGTGCTCCAACACTGGAAGTTTTTCAGAAGAGATTGGGCTATTTCAGTTGACTAAAATAGTATAAGATTTCCTGCCTGACCTGGGGGTTGGATTAGGAGACCTGCAAGGTCCCATCCACCTCTATTATTGTGTGTGTGTGTGTGTGTGTGTGTGTGTGTGTGTGTGTGTGTGTCACAGACCTATGAGTCACTTATGAAGCATCCTCCTTTTATGGTGCTCACTTTAATGACTAGACAAATAAAAACTAGCACTTCTACAAATAATGATATGTCATATTTGTGATGATTAACTCTGTTGGAAGACTATCTCTATCCCATCTACTGAACACTCTTCAATGATGATGGGTGACTATCATTCACCTCTGGTTTTGGATCAGTGTTGGCTTAAGTCTCAATAGGCTTGTGGAGATAAAGAGGAATAAGTTAAACGAGGATTTTATTCATGCTGTTGATCATGATCATGAAATGAACTTTTTTTTTACAGTCGGTTGTATATTGATATGACAAGTCTCCTACCCTTCGCTTTTGCCATTCAAGAGATCAACAAAGACAGACAGCTCCTGCAGAACCTCACCCTTGGCTACAACATCCATGACAACTATTTGAACACTCTTGGAACTTCATATACCTTGTTAGACATACTATCTACTGGAGAGGCCAGTGTTCCCAACTACAGCTGTGGAAGGAAGGACAACGTCATCGCTCTTCTAGATAGAGCTGCCAGTGACATTTCCATCCAGATGTCAACATTGGGAGGCATCTACAAAGTCCCTCAGGTTTGTCTGTGTGTTTCTCTACCTGGCCAAATTAGTGGTGAGCAATAGAGCCAACCATATCTTCAACATGAGATTATTGAGCTGATTTTCAGTAGGGCCATTGGAGAGGTAATGGCAGAGGACAGTGGGGAGGGGAGAAAGATCGAAGTAACAATATCCCCTAATGACACCATCACCATTGCTTTGGGGGCTTCTGCTGCATACTGATGAAGATGGGGGAAAGACTCTGCGTCCAATCAAAATGTCTTGTGTACAAAATGAATGTAAGTTTATATGTTTGTACTTAAAATATGATCCGTGGTGGTACAATATTGCAGGCTAACTCTGTTCACATTGCCAAGAGTTTGATTCCTTCGATCCTGACTGGTTCAAGGTTGACTCAACCTTCCATCCTTCTGAGGTTGATAAAATGAGGAGTCAGATTGTTGGGGGCCATATGCTGACTGTAAATTGCTTATAGAGGGCTGTAAAGGCTCTATGAAGTGGTATATAAGTCTAAGTGCTATTGCTAAGTGCTATTAATCTTAACTAAAAGTGATATTTTAAATGGTGGATAAATCCCAAATTTGTGAAAAAAATCCTATTGGACTATCTTACCTACAATTGGAAAAGCATATGTCTTATGGATTCATATTGATCACTAGCATTATTTAACTACTACATTTTAAAAAAAATATTTGAGTATATTAACCAACATGCCAACTATTTTTAATCATAATTTGTTCAGAATCTAATACATGATGGAAGACTTTCAGAGCAATAAAGTTCCCATGGAGAGGATTTTCTACTTGCTAAACTACCCAAAAATATCCTGACTAGAACATCCTCTACTGGTGCATTACACATGTAAATAATACCTGCCATATCCAGGTGGGTTTTAAGATGCCAATAATAGTTGCTATTCAAAAGAAAGGAAATAAAAAGAACCAAAGCAATTAAAGGACCATTAGTCAAATAGATGTAGCCCCTGAGATATTGGAAGACTGCTATCATGTCACCCCTAGTCCTTCTTTTCATTAAACTAGACATCCCCAGTTCCTGCAACTGTTCTTCATATCTCTTAGCCTCCAGTCCTCTAATCATCTTTGATGCTCTCCTCTCACACTCTTTCTAGAGTCTCCATATCTTTTTTTCGTTGTGGTAACCAAAACTGGATGCAGTATTTCAATATAATGTCTTACTAAGGCATTATAAAGTGGCAGTGTCATTTCTCATTATCTTGATTCTATCGCTCTGTTAATGCAGTATAGGATTATACTGGCTCTTTTGGCAACTGGAGCACACTGCTGGATGATATTTAAGGAATTGTTCATATAT